AAAATTAAGTTTAGGGGGAGGAAAATCTTTTAAAAATGCTTAATCATATTTTTCCTCAGTAACCTGTACGTAAATTGTTATGTTTTAAAAGAGATTTGAGGTATGTGATATCAACTTAGAATTACTGCAACTTTGAGAAAGGAATGACATAGTATCTTTTATTTAAAATGTTATGTAAATGAGACTAGACCAGTCTTAAGTTAGCTTGTAGTTCAACATTAGAAAAATGGTTTCACTATTCATTTTTTAAAAGAGTTATATATTTGTAAAACTAGGTATCCTTAGATATACACTTTATAAGAATTGAGCTTCTCTTAAAATCATATTTTCAAAAGTTTAAAGATAGAGGAATGTGGTATGTTTTACATTAGAAAGATAACAGTGGAATTCAAAACTATTAAATGTCTATCCAGATATAGTAATTGTCATAAAATTATGCTAAGGATTGAAATACTCATGCTAAAGCCAAAAAAAGAGTGATCAAAAAAAAATATTGAGTGATAAGAAGCTTGAGGAGAAACCTAATAAAAAATTGGTTTCACTTGATTTTTTTTCAAAGTTGAAGCTACATTACATTCGTAAACTACTTATATGTAATAGTAAGTCTTTTTAAATGAAGAGCTTAAATTCTATTTTTTCCATCATTGAAAGTATCTTAGTTAACAAGTATTAATTACTTTTTAAAGTAAATATGAAATCAGGCTTTTATAGTTGGATGAAATGTTTTCTCATACACTAGGGTTAAACTTGTTTATTAAAATTATTCTAAATTTACGCTATGAATTTTTTGAGGTAAAATTGTTGTTAATTTTAATGAAACACATTCCCTAAAGTTAAATAATTTTGGTATTAACATTCTAGTGTTACTTGAGGACAAGTAACGTTTAAGTTTGAGGGATTTTAATGTGTAAAAAATAATGTTTAATTTCCTTAATATTTTGCACATTTTTATGGAAGAAATTAAACTTTAAAGAAAGGTATTTTAATATTTTTTTCTAGAAAGTACAACAGGTACTATAAGTGGAGAAAAGTAGCAAAGAAATGGAACAAAGTGGAGATCACTTAGACCAAAGGAAGACCCAAGTAATCGGCGCCTTGGCTCTATATTCTTTGGGCACCAAGGCACTAGTCCCACCCTGGGAACCTGAGAGGCTTGTGCCAGTGGGCATCAAGACGCCACTACACCAGCGTCTTGGCACCAGATTTTTTGGTGCTTAGGTGCTCATGTTAAAACTGGCCGACAGAGAGCCTGGCGCCTAGGTGCCAGCCCCCTGAAGACTAGGCGTCAGTCCCCTGGCGCCTAGGTGCCAAAAACTGCCTGGGCAATTTTCACCAATTCCTTTACATGACGTGGGGAGTTATTCGGCACGATAAATGGGTTCTTGGGTGAAGTGCTCATATTAAAACTGGCCGACAGAGAGCCTGGCGCCTAGGTACCAGCCCCCTGAAGACTAGGTGCCAGTCCCCTGGCGCCTAGGTGCCAAAAACTGTCTGGGCAATTTTCACCAATTCCTTTACATGACGTGGGGAGTTATTCGACACGATAAATGGGTTCTTGGGTGAAGAAGAAGGGGTCTTTTGGAAGTTTTGGCAGTCTTTTGTCAGTCCTTTAGAGTAGGAGAGAGCAGGAGAGACAGAGAGCAGGAGAGCATTTGTGAGGGATTTGGAGAGAATTTCAAGGGAAAGTGAGGAGAGACTTGAGGAAAGCAGCAAGGGGGACTAAAAGATCCTTGGGGAAGCATTCTCAGCACTTTGTAAAGGGGAAAGCTAAGTATTGTGTACACTTGTTATTATATTTTTGTAAACACAATTCTATAGTGGATTTACTTGTTTTCAAAGATGGTTTGTGGTGTTTTCTCAATGCTTTATGAGTAATTTTTTTACATTTTCATTGTAGTGATTAAGTAGGAAGTGCAGGAATGAAAGAATGCATTTAAAATTTTTGTTAAATTTATAATGTGATGAGTAACCTTCAAGTCTTCATTTACTTTTCATTCTGACCAAGTGATTAGTTCAAATGTGTTGTGACTAGGTTATTCATATTGATCTATAGGGTATGGTGAGGTACTTTGCAGAAATATGCAAATGTTAGGGAAAAAATGTTTGATGGGTTCAAATTGGCATTTAAGAAATTAAAACAAAGTTAACCAATCTTCTTTATACACTCGGAAGAGGGTAAAAAAGATAGTTGTTCCTATTTGTCACTAGCTTCATTTACAATTTGCATTTTTCATTTCCTTCACTCCACTTAGATTATTACAAGGGAAGGTAGATAACTTGATTCTCACCAATCCAACTATATTAAGTTGAATTTCAGTAGCAGTAAACTTTTAAGAGTAGTTTGCAATTTAGTAGAATTAGTCAACTTTAAACTAATTTTACTTCCAAGCTAAGAACAAATTAAGTAGGCTGGAATTTTTTCTAAAACTTAAACACCTTGCTCCCTGTGGGTTCGACAACCTAGACTCAAAAGACCTATATTACAAAAGTGATATGTACACTTGCGTAAGGTCCCAGAGTGCAAATGCATCTAGACTTAAGTTAAGGCCGCGTCAGTATCTAAGAAACTGGGCGATGCTCTGGTTGTATCTCTCTCCTGTGGTGATGATTATCTTCCTAAGCTTTTCTGCATATTTTTCTCCATCGCTGCAGACGCCCCGATCATCTTGTTTGTCATTGCTATCTTCCAATTCGATGTGTTTCACTGAGTCTTCCCATTCCAGCCCTTCCTGTTTGCTAACACCGCCCCAGACAGCCGCTCATTGTTGTCCTGCAGTCCCCCGCTTCACCCCTTGGCTACCACTATCCGGAATACAATAACCTGTTGGTTTCTTGTTGTTCTAGACTTTCCCACCATGCCTCACTACTTCGCTTGCCACCCCATTTACTGCTCACACTGTCCCAGCCCTTCACTTCATTGCCAACGCAATTCCAACCCCTCCTTCTGTTGTTCCAACCACCCAAAATCCATTTCAGCCACAACTCCGCTCCTCAACCACCTAGCCGATCTCCACCACCCATGGATCGAGCTCTAGTGTGAGTTTGTGTTGTGTTTGTTATAGTTTCCCTTTTAAGTATGTTTTATTGTAACAACCTATTTACTTTTAGTAATAATATTTATTTTTCCTACTATAATTTGGGTTAACTCCAGTATCAAAAAATGAATGAAAAACAAATAATAAAATTATAATAAATTGAATTTATATTTTGGTTTAAATGAGCACTATTTTTTTATGTTCAATAATTATATTATATTAAATTTATGTGGATATTCAATTCTCATAAAAAAAATTAATGTGATCTATAATTTGCATGTTGTGGACAATCCACATTCTAGAAATTGTTTTTCTAATTTTTCAGGAAAAAAAAACAATTATATAACGATTTGGTGACTAGAAAATCAACTGGTAAATTCATGGTGGACTATTGACTGCCAAATCCACCAGTAACTTTGAAAACTTTCATCAATATATTTCTGACAGATTTCATGTCGCAGGAAAGCATTTTAGAAGGATGAAGGGTTCTCTGGAAACCATGATAGGTCAAAAAGACTAACTCCATTTTTTTTTTTTTTTGCTGGAAAAGAACATTTTCCGATAGAGATATCTGGGTTATTTGCTGTAGCGTCCTTTAATTTGGAGAACTCGATTCATTCTATAGCAAATCCCAAAAGGATAGATTGACTCAGGATGACTCAAAGATTCTTAAAGTGTATTCACTCTATGGTAGCAAAACAACTCACCAAATTACAATATAATTACAAGGAGAAAAATTCAAGAGATGCCATAAAACTCCGTATCATCAAGGAGAGACTAAATGAGAAAAGTCAAAAAAATCTGTCAGTCGATTTGGCATTAGCGCTCAAGATTCTCAAGAACAATGCATAACAATTGGCTTTGCTTGCTCAAAGGAACAATTACTCAGGCCATGAATATCGAGAATTCAAAACCATTCAAACCTTCAATATTGAATGACGATGTGGAATAAGCTCTACCTCCTCTAAGTGACCAAGTGCTAGTCTAAGAAGATCAACTGTCAAAGAAGCAAATCATTACAATCCATTGCAATACCAAGAGATGGCCTCCAAAGCAAAGTAGTTTACCAAAAAGAGAAAAAACTTTCCCATCTCTCCTTCATATTGGTCACAAGAGCGAAACACCTCCTGAGCAGGGTTTAATCTGAAGGTAATTTGATTTGTTCAGAAGACCCGTAGAATGACAAGCTGAGAGGATTGAGAAGCTGCAAAGAGAAATTTTGACAGACTTTCAATGCTGGGGAGAGGAATCCCAAAAGAACCATTGTACCATCAAGAGGGATCTGTCAAAGACAAAGTAAGAATTGGAGGGCAAGAGAATATTAAAACAGGTCTCGAGAAGACTAACAAGAGAGCCAAGTGACTCTAATAAAGAACATTAATATCAAAAAGTGACAATGCCACCCATTATCCAAGAAAAGTCAAGAATAGTATCATTGTAACTTCTATAAGTGTAATAATGATTTCTTATACCACATTTGGTGTTAAGTCGGTATCGTATCCTTATAACTTCTGCATTCTTGTAGCAAGTTTTATCCACTTTTTATTTGTAACTAACATTCTTTGTCTATATAAAGGTGTGTCATAGAAGGAAACAGAGATCTGCCTTAAAGAAAAATAGAAATCATGTTCTACGATTTACTGAGAGGAGTCACTGTAGAGAAGGAATTTAAGGAACATTCTTCTGAAGCCGAACATTCAGATTAGAGAACCGCTTTCATAGTTCATCCCAAAAAAACTATTCTACCAAAAAACCTAAAGCATGCAGAGGGTAAAGCTTAATAAGGCTACGGTATAAGTACCACAACCCTCCCGAAGTTCATATAATTTCGATTTGCAGTGTACTTGAGAAATAACTTGATTGTTCGGTGGATTATTTATTTTCAAGATTGAAAAAAATTTGCAAGCAGAAAATGCCACAGATTATCCAAATTCAAATTCTAGAAAAATAAAAAAGAAAACAAACCTTTGGGAAGATCATATGAGAAGTACACTATAGCTCCAGGAGCAAAACCGGCTGAGTAAAAATCCTTCAAAAAATCTTTGATTTTTTCCTTAGGCGGAGTGGTATCTGCAGATCAATATGTAATTTACATATATCATCACGTATAGTAAAGATAAATTCCAGAATATGCTTTTACTAACTTGCTTGGCTAAATTTAGTTGTTCAAGTCAGGAAGAACTTTTAATCGCACAAAATAAAGTTTAAGCTCTGAGCTTCAAACCGAACAAAAAAGAGTCATTCAAACAATAATTAGCAGCCAGGTTTTCTTCTCTAATTTCTTTTTAGAAAACTTAAAGTAAATTTTTAATCAATCAGTAAAAAAACACAAGTTATACCACGTCGTTAACAATAAACAATAAAGATTTACCTATAAGATTTACCTATCACACAATTCTTACGTATTTACATATCTCACACCTAAACTTTCATATTTACAGACATAGCAATCAAATCATTAATATCATGCCCAAAATAGCACTATTATCATGTATTAGAAATTTACATATCTCACATCTAAACTTTCATATTTACAGACCTAGCAATCAAATCATTAATATCATGCCTAAAATAGCACTATTATCATGTATTAGAAGAAATATATCTTTTTGTCAAGACCCGGCCCGGAGCTTGAAAATAATCAAGGCGAGAACAGATAATCAGACATTGTAATTAACATTTCATTTACTTTCCACAAATTAGCATGACTTCCAATTTATAAAATAGCTGCTAAGAAATCATAAAGTACACTACACAAAATTCAAATCATCCAAAATCAACAACATAGATGTAAGTAAAATAGCTCAAATGAATACACAACAGTATATCAATACTCATAAGTAAATAATATAATAACAACAATCATAAAACACAATAAACTACCTATCACCAGTAGTTTCCTGTAAACAAATTCTCATATGTTAGTCGCATCAATCTAATATTTTCCTGAAAGCAACCATTAATTTTCAACAATAAGTTACGCCACTTAGTGAGCAATTATAATTTTTATGCATTAAATTAATATGCAAATATTATGCATGAACGTTTTAAGAAAATACAATTTATTAGTAAATCAAACTGTAAGCTTTCATTTTTAATTTAACCCTTCCTATTTTAATTTAAATAAATATCTTTTTTTAACCTCTTTAAGAAGTCATATCATGATTACCGTCATACACGGATGTTTCCCAAAATTATATCCGTAGATGCCTTCAAATTTTGCCCCAAAGGTATACATTTACCATTTTTATTTTCTTTTTCATGCATGGGTACGTCGCATCTCCTGTCAATACCATTTGTGCGTAATCCTGAATAACCTAACCTTTTTTTATTTCATTTTTTTTAAATTACCTCATTTTAAAGTCATTGAACAATCCCTTTCCATTTTTATCATTTCATTTATTCATTTCATGCATATAATTATAAAAGTATGCATCTGAAACAATAATGCAAGTCTTTATAAAATAAAACATCAATTTAATACATATAAGAAAATAATTACTCAAATTAACATTGATTGCTTGTCTCACTAACTCCCTGTCTCCAATTTTATAGATTCAAATGTTCAACTTTAATTGTTGTTATAGAGTAGACCTAAAAGAAGACACTCAACCCATATGATACAACACACATAAAATCCCAAAAAAAGAGAAGATACATATAAGATAAAAAAAACAAAAAAACCACCAACACGCGCAAAAAACTAGGACGACTCAGCTTAGTCCTGCCTCTGCCTTGAGTTCTCGGAAAGGGAGTCGACTAACAAATTGGTAAGGTGGGTATCATTACCCGAAGTAACCAAAGTATCATCCATCAGATTTCTGAGGTCAAGTAGGTCTCCATTCTTCTTCTTTCTTCTGGATGTGTAAATCTGTCATTCCTCATCCGAGGATTGACTTATCTGATCAGTGGATTAGTCCAAAGGTAGTCGGATAGGTGTAGGTTGTTGCACATCATGAACCCGATGTGCCTGAGTAACATTAACATCTCACTCAACCTGATGAGGCGGCATAGAAGTAGTAGCAATATTGCCACTCGTAACATCAGTAATAGGTTCTAGAGCAGGTGAAGTTTGAAATGTCTCCCTCGCCCCCACGAAAGGAGAATCCAAAGATGGGAAAACACAACATTGTGTGGAGGCTAAATAGTTGACATATTGCCTGTAAGGATAGTGACATCTTCAAGGATATCCTTTTGAAGATCAATAATGTCGATAACTTGGAGCATATCAAGAGTAGAGAGAATCACTGCATCTGGCAGAGCACTTTGCTTCTTTGGTCTGAGGTGGGGGTGTAGATGATGACATTGAGAAACGAAGTGGCTAAACATACGACATTTCAAACAATACGAAGGTAAAGGCACAATCACAACCTCTTGCCAATATCCATGGTGGTGTGTACCTAACTAAATTTTCATAAAAGCGATTGAAATGATAACTCTAATAAAGACAAAGTCTCTAACTAAAAACTCAACAAGTTTGTGCTTGACATAGAACTATTTCCTCAGTCTATTATGCATTGCCTTTTATCTGTTTCTGACTAGTTTAATCTCTCAGTATCATCATCAATCAAGTCAGCTCCAATAACCATTCTCTCATATGTTTTCAGCCCAACATAAAGTTGTCTTGCACTTTCTTCCATACAAAGCTTCATATGGGATCATCCCAATAGTAGCCTGATAACTATTATTGTAAGTATACTCTACCAAGGGTATATGTAATTTCCATCCTTTACCAAAGTTAAGGACACACTATAATAACTGAAAAATAATAATAATAATAATAATAATAATAATAATATGAAATAAGATGTGTCGAGTTGAATTAACTGTTGAGACGGTTCGTTTCAGTGAAATTGAGGGAGGCCTTCTATTGGTCCTTTCGTTCATAGCCTACAGAGAACAAGCTAATGAGAGAAACCAGAGAGATTGAGAGAAGGAAAAGCTTCGTGCATTCCCTAGTTGATCGATAGAGGAGAAGGAAGAGTTGCATGTTTAACCAAACGAGAGAAGAAACAAAGTCGCAGAGGAGAATAAGAAGGGAGGAGGGTCGTTTCCAACCCTAGCATGCGGCTTTTGTCCCAAGGAGAAGAATTCTCTGTGGGATTTTCTGTGCAAAGATTTAACAAAACAAAGACTGTGAAAAACTGAAGAAGGAAAATAATATGAAGTACAAACAACAACAACAACAACAAAGCCTTAGTCCCACTACGTGGGGTCAATATGAAGTACGAAAACAAAAATAATTTTGTCAGGCTTTCCAACCTCTTATGAATTTATATTTCAGCAGTTAATTTGCATCATCGTCTATTTTCAGCCATAAAAATTTCCTTAAAATAGAAGAACAGAGAAAACTGAAGGAAATAATATGAAGTACGAAACAAAAATAAATTTGTCAAGGTCAAATAAATATTCTACGATAAGCAAATTGTATTTAATATCAAAAAATAAACGTTGGTAATTGATTTGCATGATAGCCTAAAATCTGAACAGAAAGAAAATTATTTTTTTAAATCAATTTATATAGGTCTAAAAATAATAAAATTGAAACTACTGTGCAAGAAAAAAATTATTCTAGTATACGAGGGAACAATGCTAAGTTCTGTGGATCTCCGGCCAATAAGGACTGTAAATTACTTTGCCCAACAAATGAGTTAGGATGAGGAGAGGAAGAACTGAATTACGGAAAACAAAAGCTCGATAATGCTAACGACCATCAAATTTTAAACATAAGGCCAATTACCAATAATTTTGGAATTAAAAAGCTTGAGCTAAGAAACCAAATTAAGAATTTACAGTTTAAAGGGTTTGAGGAATAAAGAGATATTGCAAGGGAGATTTTTTCAAATTGCTATTTACAAAGAGGATCAAATTGACAAGATGAAGATCAAAAAAATAAATGTTATAAATATTCTCCCATATGAATGCTGACAATAAGAGACACCTACACAAGTAGAATGGCAGATCTGGTTGGGCAAGCACTTTCATGAGAAGATCCACTAAACTTTGAATTTTCTCTGATGGTTGAAATTTGGCCTCGAGAATGTAGTTGTCTGGAAATTGTAACCTGATCACAGCCTTCAGCACAAATAATTGAAGGTTAAACAATATTTAAAAAGGAAGCTCTGATCATTGACAAAATGTGAGAAAAAACATGGATCAACTGAAAAATGACAGAAATTATTAAAAAGTTGTATCTTTATTTGAATAATCTTAATGCTAACACAAGCATGCAATATAAAGGCTAAAAAAAGAGCATGAAATACATTAAAAGAGAATATCCTTATAATGAGTATATATTATAATAATCAATAGACAAATGACTACTAAACATTAAACATAAATGATAATCTTAATATTGTAATAAAATAATTGCACAGGCGCTAAATCAACGCCCAAGTGCAGGCACTGAATGCGACCCAAAGCGGGGAGTGGAAAATGGGTGAGTTACAACCCCACGCGTTAGCAAGAGGAGCATCACGAATTCTCTCTATCCAGCGAAGTTGGGCGGGATCGCGAACTCTCGCGATCCAGAGAGATGCTTCGTGAGTCTGTCTCACCTGTCTTCGTTTGGGAACGGTCTTTCTGGATTCTTCTTGCCTTACCACCCTCTTGCTTTGTGTAGAAGTTTCTTTTGTACAACGGTCGTCTATAAATTATTGTCCTCTGTGTGGGGAGTTAGTTCTAGTGGAGTTGTCTTCTGCTCTCTTGTGTGGAGTCCCTTCCATTTTGTTAGGATTGTATCGAACGCTACGTGGTGATTCGGTTGTATCCTGCTCCGAGGTGGTATTGTAAACCTCAAATCTCATTCGTTTCTTCTCCCCGACACCTTTTCCTACCTCTCCCCTAGCTACCAACCACCCCTTATTCCTTCACTACTGCCCCCCTATTTACTCCACGACCTCGCCATCCAACCTACCTACAACCAACTAAACACAATCCATATTTACCCAAATAACCACTCACCCTGCCAACGTCGCAATCGTCTTCGAATCTCTTCCTACAACCCCTAACAGAGATTCGTCTATTACTGTGTTTCCCTTTTGTTTGAGTCATATTGTAACACTATTTTTATATTAATCAAATTTTATTTTTGTGTTCCGTCACATCCCAAATAGTTCTAGTATCATTTGGTATCAGAGCTAGTCCAACCCTAGTCTCATCTTAGGGTTTCCTAGCATCCGCCCCTACTCAATCCACCTCCATCAAATTTTATTCCTTCTTATTCCGAACTCTAGCCATGCCACTGCGAAGAAATGCATCAAGCTCTACTCAAGAAGAGATCTAACGAGAAATTCATCATCTGCAACGGAGACTAGTCGAGTTGGATAACTGAAACCAAGAAGATATTGCCTTCGACCGCGATCGAGAAAGTCGAGAGGAAGACAGGGACGAGGATCTAAATATGATCCACAAGGAAGATCACAATGGCGAGGAATATCGACCGCACCATTTTGGTATCCAATATCTAAGGGGACCGAGAGAAGAGACCCCTTATGAAGGGCAGTGAGACTTTGGCATCAAAGCTTGAGGGAGGCATGGACCCCGATGAGTTTATCAACTGACTGCAATCAATCGAAAGAATCTTTGAAAATAAGAACATACCAGAGGACAAATGAGTCAAGCTAGCTAGAATTAAACTAAAGAATGATGCCTTCTTATGGTGGGAAAATCTACAAATGTAGAGAAGGAGAGAAAGAAGTGAGAAGATAACTAAGTGGGATAAGATGAAGAAGATAATGCAGAAGAAATACCTCCCACAGTAGTATCGTCAGGACATTTTCCTAAAACTTCATTACTTGCAGCAACAAGATCTATCATCTGAGGAGTTCATGGCACAGTTCGACCACCTGCAGTTAAAGCGCAAGCTGACAAAGCCAGAGAAGCACACAATAGCTAAATATCTCGGGGGTCTAAAGACCTCCATTAGTAATGTGGTATAACTAGAGTCATACTGGACATTGGGGATGTCCAGACACTAGCCATTAAGGTGGAAGGCAACCGTCGTCCTTCAGACCACCACCTTCAGCCAAGCAGTCACTTGCAACTATTACAACCAAAAAGGGTGACTCGGGAGGAAATAACAGAATTGGACAATGAACAGATAAAGCAGATTAGAGCGGAAAAAAGCTAGAGAAAGTTGGTTCCTCCAATAAAGTGCTAGCCAGAAAGTGTTTCTGGTGCTACGACTACGGTCACATAGCTTCCAGTGGCCCAACAAGCTGAGACGTCACACTTGCAAATCAAGGCGCTGTTGAGAATGTCAATGAGGAATTAAAGAGTCCAAAAGAAGAGCTTCTGCTCCACGGAGACGAAGGAGAAGCGTTAGTCGTTCGACAAACACTGCAGTTCGAGCCAGAGGGCATCAATCCTGGTTAAGGTATAACATTTTTCACAACAAGTGCACCGTCGAGGGGAACGTCTGCAGCCTGATCATCGACAGTGAGAGCTACGAGAACGTGGTGTCCGCGCTCATGATGAAAAAGTTAGGATTGAACACAAAAGCATCACTAGTCATATTCCCTTACCCGGTTGAAGAAGAGAAACAAGATACGACGGGTTCAAGAACACTTATTTTTTAAAGAAGAATGGTAAACGTATTGTTTTACTACCAGTTAAGGATACAAAAGACAGGAGCGATACAGAGATAGCATTAGTTCCTCGTACCGCTTTCCTGCAGTCAGTTAGAGATACCCCTGTTACACTAGCATTAGTCCTCCTAGAAGGAAGCGAGGAAAGAGAGGTACCAGCAGTACAACAACCATAACTACAGAACTTTCGGGATGTTATGACAGACAACTTACCAGAGGGATTACTTTCATTAAGGGACATCCAACACATTATAAACCTTATATCAGGATCCAAATTGCCAAACTAACTAATCTACAGATTAAGACCCGCATAGTATGAAGAACTACAGCGACAAGTGTTGGATCTCGTTGCAAGAGGGCTAGTTAGAGAAAACAGCAGCCCTTGCATACTCTCTACCCTAATGGTGCTTAAAAAGGATGAATAGCGACGAATGTACATTGACAGCTAAGCCATCAACAAGATTACCATCAAGTACCAATTTCTCATACCTCGCTTGGATGATCTCTTAGACCATCTACATGGAGTCACTATCTTCTCCAAGATTGACTGGCGCGTCGAATATCACCAGATACGGATGAGGTTAGTAGACTAGTGGAAGGCCGCCTTCAAGGCGCGGGACAGACTTTATGAGTGGACCGTTATGTTTTTTGGTCTGTCGAACGCACCTAGCAATTTCATGAGATTAATAAACCAGGTATTCCGACCTCACATAGAAAAGTTTTCATTATCTACTATGATGACATTCTACTTTATATCCAGTCAAAGGAGGATCACTTGCGTCACCTGAAGGTTGTATCTGAGGTACTGCGAGCCGAGCAACTATATGTGAAAAGTCAGGTAAGCTTTCTGGATTATATCATATCTAGTATAGGCATTCAAATGGATCTCGTAAAGTTAGAGGTCATTATCAGCTGGGTCGTACCACATTCATTTATCGAGTTGAGGAAATTTTTGGAGTTGACATCCTCTATCGAAAACTCATCAGAAACTTCAGCACTATCACCTACCCTCTGACTGAACTTCTAAAAGAGGAGTTTACTTGGACAGTAGCAGCCTAGAACAGTTTTGACACACTGAAAGAGAAGGTGACTCAGGCACCCGTGCTAGCACTACATGACTACAACCAACTTTCGAGGTAGAATGTGATGACTCCGACGTGGGGATTGGAGCAGTACTAAGCCAAGGAGGACACCCCATCGCTTTCTTTGGTGAAAAGTTGAACGAGTCCAGGAAGAAATACTCAATTTACAACAAACAATTCTACGCCACCATAAAAGCTTTGGAACATTGGAGTTATTACCTATTGATAAACGATTTTATATTATTTACAGATCATGAGGCCCTAAAATTCCTTAACAGTCAGAGCAAACTAAATGGAAGACACGCCACCTGGGTGGAATTCCTAACCTCATTCTAGTTTGTGCTAAAACACAAGGCGGGAAGCCAAAACTGCGTAGCAAATGCACTGAGTCGTCAACACCTATTTATCAGATCCATGCATGCTCGAGTTTTGGGGGGCTTCGCGGTCATAAGGGACCCATATGAAGCAGACGAAGATTTCAAAAACATATAGGAGCAATGTTAGGAGAAGCCAGCAAGGCAATATTACCGCACAGATGGATACCCGTTCCACCAGAGTTAGTTGTGCATTTCCCAGTGTTCACTAAGGGAGACCATTATCCAGGAAGGCCACAGTTGAGGACTAGCAGGCCATTTCGGTAGGGACAAGACCCTCACCCTCATATGAGAGCAATTTTATGGCTAAATCTGACAAGAGATATAGAAAGACATGTCAGGCAATATAGGATTTGTCATCTGGCAAAGATAAGAGCTCAAAACGACGGATTATACGCACCATTTCCAGTACCAGAGGCACCGTGGGTGGACTTCAGCATGGATTTCATGCTAGGACTTCCATGGACTCAAAGGAACAAAGACTCTGTAATGGTTGCAGTAGACAAATTCTTTAAGATGGCTCACTTTATACAATCACCGGACACTAAACGTCTCTCACATCGTTGATATATACTTCAGAGAGATTGTAAAGTTGCACCGAATTCTTAAGACCATCACCTCCGATAAAGATGTCAAATTTCTAAGCCACTTTTAGAGGATAGGGAAAGCTTGGTACCAAACTCCAAATCAGCTAGGCAACTCATCCGCAGACAGTAGTAGTAAACCCAAGCGTCGACAATCTCTTAAGATATGTCGTGGGAAAAAACATAATACAGTGAGATCTTATCTAGCCCAAGCTGAGTTCGTCTATAACCAATCCATCAACCAAATTACGAGATAAACTCCCTTCAAGATTGTGTACAGACAGTCCGCTCACGCCATAAGAATTGATGTCACTCCTATAATCTTCGGAAACCAGCAAAGATGCCACAGAATGAGTTCATGAGATTCAAAAGCTCCATGAAGACGTTGGCAAGGAGATTGTTAAGCAAAACCTCAAATATTAGGCACAAAAAAAAATCTAAGAAGTA